GGCCCCCAACCTAATAGCAATGGCCTCCAACCCCAATAGCAACGGCCCCCAACCGAATAGGGTAAAAGTGACGGCCTCCAACCTAATAGCGATGGCCTCCAACCTGATAGCGATGGCCTCCAACCGCGATGGCCTCCAGCCTGATAGCGATGGCCTCCAACCTAATAGCCATATGGCCCCCAACCTAAAAGCGATGCCTCCAACCTGATAGCGATGGCCTCCAACCTGATAGCGGCGGCCTCCAACTTAAAAGCCATGGCTTCCAACCTAAAAGCGATGGCCTCCAACCTAATAGCGATGGCCTCCAACCTAAAAGCGAGTGTCTCCAACCTAATAGCGATGGCCTCAAACCTAAAAGCGATGGCCTCCAACCTAAAAGCGATGGCCTCCAACCTAATAGCGATTGCCTCCAACCTAATAGGGCCATTTCCATTCCAGCTCCAAGTTGTCACTCGTGCACCCATTTGTTTACAAAACTCATCCCCATCCTCCCATCCTATGCGCAGGTGATCCCTTTGTGTGCCCCCCACCTGCACGTATGTTTCTTTTGTGGTGCACGGTAACGACATGCTGTCAGGTGCGGCCGAATGCTTGGTTCTCAGCCAGTGCAGTGCATTGTTTGAGCTATGTTGCGCAGGGCATTCTTTGTCCAAGGCCCAAACGTTATCGCAGCAAGTGATGGCTCTGCAGTCGCGGCCACCACGTCCGAATCCTCCGTATGAGGAGGGGCAGAACACATGGGTGTCGATGTAGACATGTTTGCAATCAAATTAAATTAGAATTAACTTAGAATTAGAACGTTGACCACCTGAAGGACACGCTAGCTTCTTGTTACTACTAGTAAGGCACTTGTTCCTAGTAGCGATGCACTTGTTCCTAGTAGCTTCTTGTTACTACTAGTAAGGCACTTGTTCCTAGTAGCGATGCACTTGCTCCTAGTAGCTTCTTGTTACTACTAGTAAGGCACTTGTTCCTAGGCACTGGTTCCTAGTCGCGATGCACTTGTTCCTAGTAGCTTCTTGTTACTACTAGTAAGGCACTTGTTCCTAGTAGCGATGCGCTTGTTCCTAGTAGCTTCTTGTTACTACTAGTAAGGCACTTGTTCCTAGTAGCGATGCACTTGTTCCTAGTAGCTTCTTGTTACTACTAGGCACTTGTTCCTAGTAGCGATGCACTTGTTCCTAGTAGCTTCTTGTTACTACTAGTAAGGCACTTGTTCCTAGTAGCGATGCACTTGTTCCTAGTAGCTTCTTGTTACTACTAGTAAGGCACTTGTTTCTAGTAGCGATGCACTTGTTCCTAGTAGCTTCTTGTTACTACTAGTAAGGCACTTGTTCCTAGTAGCGATGCACTTGTTCCTAGTAGCTTCTTGTGACTACTGGTAAGGCACTTGTTCCTAGTAGCGATGCACTTGTTCCTAGTAGCTTCTTGTTACTACTAGGCACTTGTTCCTAGTAGCGATGCACTTGTTCCTAGTAGCTTCTTGTTACTACTAG